CTTGTAAAAACTTCACTTTTGGGAGAATGGACGGGAAACGGACGAGGGGTCTGGCCTGGGCGGCCGCATCCCACCCCGCTGCCCAGCGGCGGAACTGGTGGCGCGGGAACCCAGGGGCAGGGGTCCCTCGCTGTTCCGACTGGCCCGCGTCCGGGGCTCCTGCCTGGACACCGCGGCCGGCCCGCTCCAGGCCGTCGGGGCGCCGGGCGGCCCCAGAAACGTGCCTCGCGCACGTCCCCCGAGGTGGGCCGGCCCCTTCTCCTCTCGGGGAACCAGGGACGCCCCGGGAACTGACGGTGCCCAGTTGCGTTTTGTTTGTTTTACTGGGCCTGGGGTTTCAGGTAGAAAACTCCTTTTTATTTTTCTTTAAAAAATGATTTTGAAGAAGCCCCGTTTCAGGTATAAAGGCCCCCAAACGTCCACTCTACCTGGGTCAAGTGATTCCAAGTCCTGCAGAGTCACCAACCCGCCGGGCTGCCGCCCCTGCCCGGCCTGGCCACGCGCTGCCCGCTCAGGAGCGACTGGGGGCGAGTGAAAAACCCAGCCGTCCGGGCCTTCGAGCTTTTCCCTCCGACCCACCAAGCGCTCCTGGGGGCCGCCAGGCGCATCTCCAGGGAACCCCGGGGGCGTCGGGGTCGGCTCGGGAGCGCAGCGGAGGCACAAATGGGCTCCGGCGGGGGGCGGGGGCTGGGGGAGAGCGGTTGGGGTAACCGGGCCTCGGAAAGTTCAGGGAGGGATCCTCGCGGGCTTGGCGGTTTGAAATCCTAACCCGCACGGGGGCTTCGGGTCGGGCTGTGCGCGGCAGCCTCCCCGCGGGGGTCAGGAGGGCGGCTCAGCGATGGGCGCTCCAAGTGTAGCCTTTCCAGGGCAGCACCGTGGGCGCTGCTGAGCCAAGAGTCTCCACCAGTACGCCCCAAATTCGAGCGCCCAGGGCGAGAACAGCAAGAGGAGCCTTGGCCGGCTGACCCTAAACCCGCCAGGCCCCTGGGGCTCCCGGGACGCGCGCCCTGAAAACCAGAAACCGAGCAACCGCTGCGCCTTCCTTACCAGGGAGCGAAAAGGAATGGAAAACGGGCAGCTTGGGACTCGATTCAGGGGCACCCCGAACCCCTCTGTGAAGGGCTTTTCCCGGAGCTCATACAATCCAGTGCCGGCGCAGAGCCAGGAACTCCCCGCCGAGGCTCGCGCGGCCGCAGCGGGGGGGCGTCCCTCCTGTGCCCGGGGCGAAGGGAAGGAAACGCCTCACTCCCTGGATCCCCCGGGATGGTCCTGGGGCGTATTTTTGTCAGAAAACAAGATACAAAACGCAACAAAGCGCTACGTCGGGCGATGCCGTCGGGCAGATCCCTCCCGTCTGCTCCGCGGGGGAAAGTTCTGGAGGCTCTGCAGGGACGCAGGTTTTCGCGGTGGGTTTCAAAAGCGGTGTTTGGTCAGTTAAATGAAAGGAAAATAATTTCCCTGGAAAACAGGGACGTTTTCCTTCTAAATTTTAGGTAAATATGTAAGTATAGGTGGTCTCAGGAAGCATATAAGTATGTTACATTGTTCCCTTTCAAAAATAAAATATGCAGAAAGTTGGGATTAAAATCTAAACCATTCTCTCAAACTCAAAATTTTCCCCCCTGTGAGCGACATATTTCTAAAGTTACATTTCTAAAGATTTAATATTTCTGAAAGAATTATTTCNCTTGTAAAAACTTCACTTTTGGGAGAATGGACGGGAAACGGACGAGGGGTCTGGCCTGGGCGGCCGCATCCCACCCCGCTGCCCAGCGGCGGAACTGGTGGCGCGGGAACCCAGGGGCAGGGGTCCCTCGCTGTTCCGACTGGCCCGCGTCCGGGGCTCCTGCCTGGACACCGCGGCCGGCCCGCTCCAGGCCGTCGGGGCGCCGGGCGGCCCCAGAAACGTGCCTCGCGCACGTCCCCCGAGGTGGGCCGGCCCCTTCTCCTCTCGGGGAACCAGGGACGCCCCGGGAACTGACGGTGCCCAGTTGCGTTTTGTTTGTTTTACTGGGCCTGGGGTTTCAGGTAGAAAACTCCTTTTTATTTTTCTTTAAAAAATGATTTTGAAGAAGCCCCGTTTCAGGTATAAAGGCCCCCAAACGTCCACTCTACCTGGGTCAAGTGATTCCAAGTCCTGCAGAGTCACCAACCCGCCGGGCTGCCGCCCCTGCCCGGCCTGGCCACGCGCTGCCCGCTCAGGAGCGACTGGGGGCGAGTGAAAAACCCAGCCGTCCGGGCCTTCGAGCTTTTCCCTCCGACCCACCAAGCGCTCCTGGGGGCCGCCAGGCGCATCTCCAGGGAACCCCGGGGGCGTCGGGGTCGGCTCGGGAGCGCAGCGGAGGCACAAATGGGCTCCGGCGGGGGGCGGGGGCTGGGGGAGAGCGGTTGGGGTAACCGGGCCTCGGAAAGTTCAGGGAGGGATCCTCGCGGGCTTGGCGGTTTGAAATCCTAACCCGCACGGGGGCTTCGGGTCGGGCTGTGCGCGGCAGCCTCCCCGCGGGGGTCAGGAGGGCGGCTCAGCGATGGGCGCTCCAAGTGTAGCCTTTCCAGGGCAGCACCGTGGGCGCTGCTGAGCCAAGAGTCTCCACCAGTACGCCCCAAATTCGAGCGCCCAGGGCGAGAACAGCAAGAGGAGCCTTGGCCGGCTGACCCTAAACCCGCCAGGCCCCTGGGGCTCCCGGGACGCGCGCCCTGAAAACCAGAAACCGAGCAACCGCTGCGCCTTCCTTACCAGGGAGCGAAAAGGAATGGAAAACGGGCAGCTTGGGACTCGATTCAGGGGCACCCCGAACCCCTCTGTGAAGGGCTTTTCCCGGAGCTCATACAATCCAGTGCCGGCGCAGAGCCAGGAACTCCCCGCCGAGGCTCGCGCGGCCGCAGCGGGGGGGCGTCCCTCCTGTGCCCGGGGCGAAGGGAAGGAAACGCCTCACTCCCTGGATCCCCCGGGATGGTCCTGGGGCGTATTTTTGTCAGAAAACAAGATACAAAACGCAACAAAGCGCTACGTCGGGCGATGCCGTCGGGCAGATCCCTCCCGTCTGCTCCGCGGGGGAAAGTTCTGGAGGCTCTGCAGGGACGCAGGTTTTCGCGGTGGGTTTCAAAAGCGGTGTTTGGTCAGTTAAATGAAAGGAAAATAATTTCCCTGGAAAACAGGGACGTTTTCCTTCTAAATTTTAGGTAAATATGTAAGTATAGGTGGTCTCAGGAAGCATATAAGTATGTTACATTGTTCCCTTTCAAAAATAAAATATGCAGAAAGTTGGGATTAAAATCTAAACCATTCTCTCAAACTCAAAATTTTCCCCCCTGTGAGCGACATATTTCTAAAGTTACATTTCTAAAGATTTAATATTTCTGAAAGAATTATTTCTATCTTCAGTACCATTTCAATGAAAATAAAAGTCAGAGGATGCGTTTCTGCTGGAGGTTCTGAAGCAAACCGAGGCAGTTGGTACCCGGGTCACAGGGCAGGAGGGCTCCGGGGAGCGGGGTTCTGGTACCTGCTGCACTGGCATTTAACACTTTCCGCCTCTGGAGGGGCTTTGAGATGATGCCCCCTTTGAAATCCAATCCCTTGGTTCTCCCACTGTCTCTCCCTCCACGGGCAGTCTGCACGGGACCCCGTGGTCCACGTGACTATTTCACTTTAACCCCATAACTC